CCTCTGTTCATGACAAACCCCTCCGCTGGTTCTCTAGATTCTTGCTTCTTGCCTCTTCCCAAATCCCTCTTCCTTTCCATATCTTCTGCTTCTCTCTGTATATACTAGTTCTTTCTCTTTGGCATTTAAACATACTAAAAGCCTCTTCCAATTGAGGAAACGGACTCCATGGATTGATTGTGTTATGAATTTTGCATGAGGATGGAGCTCTGTGCTACATCCTGTGCATCTAACAAAGTGCTGGGCCTTCTGGGGGTTGTAGGCCCATTAGGAGATTGCATCTTCACTGAAAGCCTTAGACATTCTGCAACATTTCTTTCAATTCAGAGCTCTCTCTTGAGTTACCCGGCTCCAGACCCCTCTCTTAGTGGATACGCATTGTTTCTCTGGAAAGGCCTCTGATTCCTCCCATGTGTAGAATGTTGCTGACCGAGTAGCATGGTGGTGGGGAAAGCCACAGCAGGGCACTGTGCCCCGCACACGGTTCAGCCACCTGGGCGTCTCCTGGAACATGAATCTTTAAGACGTGCTGTCTCCATCCACCACCAATCCTTCATTCGGGAGCTTCTGTGTATCTCATTCCTTTAAAGGGGGCTACCTAAATGTGTGCTTTATGTCGAAAGAACTAGAACACATTCTCAGTGCATCCGTGGCAAGTATTTGGAAAATTAGAATTTTATGAAAGTTATTTCCATTTTCTAAATATAAACGACTGGCATTTTTCAACCATCCTTCAGAATTAAAAGACTAATTCTTCCACTTGAGTCAGCGTGAGGGAAATTTGATTCATTTCCCTAAAACTTCCCTCACTTATCTAGAAAGGTAGTTGCAGCAGGGTTGAAATTTATCAGCTTTTCAACAGTGTAAATCCCCGTATCTGAGGAGTGCCTCACTCAGGTGACTTTTTGGAGTGTCCAAATGAGCAGGTAGGTTGGAAGGAAGGTAGACAAATCACAGGGTTTTTCAGAATCTAGCATGATGGTAATTTGCCAGGAGCTGTTGTCAAGCTTCTCAAAGCCAGAAGCTCTTCTAACTGCTGAGCCTCCCATCTGCCATCCTCACGGGCTGTCCCACAGATAGCTTGCCAGAGGCTGAGGTAACTAACAGCAGCATGAGGCCACCACCTTCCACTGGGACTTTTTGTGAATTTGGTTCCTGAGGTTGGCTGTAAGCTGTTATTGAGGCACAGATGTTTTCCAAAGTGTTCGCGCTCATGCCCCAACTCCTTCATCCCCACAGGCCCACCCCCGTCTTCTCGCCCACCCTATGCACCGCTTCTGGGCACCACTTGCCTTCCTCCCTCAACCCCATGATCTTGGCATCTCCTGGCTGAGCTGAGCTGTTAATGTGTTTAATTGTGTTGAACGTAAAAGTAGAGGTCTGAGAAAACAATTGGCCCCAAAAGACACCAGGAGCGACCCAAGAGAAGACCCCTGCAGTCTGTTACAGCTTCAGGCAGCATGCTTGTTTATCAGTGTCTCGGGTGAGTGTGCGTGTGTGTGTTCTCCTCCCTTTCCTTTCTGCCTTTGTCCAGATGTGAGCATGGGCTTTGTTGATAACAAGTGATTTTTGACTTTTAGGGGTGCGTGTGTGCCTAACCTCTGGTGTCTGTGTGTCTGTGTTAGAAGGATACAGGTCTGTGTCTGGTGACACACATTATTTCGGCCCTCCCCTGTGCAGCTCTGTTGATTAGGAAGGGAGAAACCTCCCTGAATGATTTGTTTTGTGTGACTTTTCCTGTGTGCTCTTCTCGTTCCTCCTCAGTCCTCTCCTGCTTGCCATCTCTGGGCCACCCACTCCCTTCAGAAGTTTTCTAGATCAAACTGCCAAAGTTCGCTTTAACTTTGACACCAACTTTGAGACTGACTTAAGTTTTAATAGTAAGAAACCCTGTTGGTGCTAGTACTCCCTAGCCCTTGTTTTCCAGATGAAAATTTCTTGGGGCAGAAGGAAATAAAAAAGAATTAGACTCCTTTTGCTACATAAATAGATGTGACATTCAAACCCAGAGTTAAATGGAATTTCTCGAACATTAGTAGGCTTGTGCAATGACCTATGAAGTTAAAGTCACTAAAGTTTTCTGATTAATTAGTTACATGTAGCAACTTTAGTGCTCTAAAAAAAAAAAAGAAAGAAAACACTTAGCAATACCGGCTACCTACTAAGATTGACTAGGATCCTAGAGAGGTTTGCTCTGATGTTATTGAGGCCTTTTCTTTGTAAGGAGCTGCTGGAAACTGAGGATTTTGCAAACAGAATTTAGAAGGGAGGGAAATACTTCATGATGGCATGACTCTGAGCCAAGCACAGCATTCATTAAAAGGCTGCCCAGTCAGGTCAGCATCAAGACAAGACAGAGGGGTGGCATTTAGGAAAGCTGAAAACAGGGCCAGGGGTTTTCAACGAGATGGAGACAGACACCATTGCCAGTCTTTGCAAGTGACAGCCATCCTGCAAAAATATTCGGTGGCACATGGGATGCTCTCGAGCTGAAGTAGTAAGAATGTGAGGGAACATAAGAGTGGCCGAGAGTGTGGGACATTCCAGGAGAGGGTTAGGAAGGGAAGGGATTTTGGCAGAACCACAGGTCCTAACCCAGTCCTGCTGGTTTGGACAAGTACAGTTTCTGTATAGGCTGGCCATCTGGGCTGGGAGAAAACAGAGAACAGAAACCTCAGCAGAAAAGGGTTTCTGGCCTAGATGAATCCATCCCAGAGGAGCTGCAGAGCTGGGGTGGTGGTGGGGTCCCCCTGAAATGAGACACTGCCCAGTGGTCACAGCCTGGGTAGAACCGAAGAAGCCAGTTGGCTCATAAACGGTTTTTCTTCCTGCCTGTCACACCAAGGGAATTCTCTTTCTATGTAACGTAATAAATTCCCCTGTAATCTCAAGATGCAGGTAACAGCTTGGCCCTGGTGAGAAATGACTGGCTTCATGTTTCCCCCAGTATGATTTCCTTTACATACAGCGAGGGGCCCTGCCCACTCCCCTGCAGAGCTCGGGAGCCGAGCCTGGAAGGGAAAAACAAGGCTGATTCATGTTTGTGATTAACTTCTCACCTAATGCTGTAATCCCATACGTGGACCTGGCCCAGCTTGTCGCTGCTTGGCTGGGAACTCTGTTGTTGGAAGAAGGGTAGGTGGCCGCAGATTCTGTGCCAACCTGGGCTCCAGCCACACTGCCAGAGCCACCCTCTGTGGGCTGTGCCTCAGATCTCCCTGCTTTGGGACACCTTGTTCAGTCTTGCCCCCTGTGTGCCCCCGTGGCATTTCATTTGCACCTCTTTCCTGTCATTTGCCTTTTCTTCACTTGCAGTTATCGATGAGCTCCCTGAGGTGGGGGCAACCATGTTCTCTTTCTCTTTAAATCTTCTCAAGCCCAACATCAGGCATGGGGCAGTTTAGCGCTCAGCAAATCACAGTGAAATGAACTGAACAGCAGAGGATGACCTCCCTGAAATGACTGCCCTGGATGGAAAAGAAGCCCACATCAAATTCCAGCCCCTGGCCAGCAGGGCAGATGCGACCTCCCTCTGCTTTTCTCGACAATAATCCCAGTCCCTTGTTATGATAAACTACTTGCTTCTTGCTCCGCAGTACGTTCAGGAACTGGACTGCTGCCAACGAAAACACAGGAGCGATGGTAGGACTATTGAAATAAATCAATGGCCTATGATAAATACAGGAAAAACAGTGCTGGTTAATAAGCTCACACGCCAACGAAATCATATGTTATTTAAGAGGAGGAGGAGTTTTTACATAAATGTCTGTGATTTTAAATAATAAGGATGATTTTTAAAAACCCAAGTAATTCACCAGCTTTTTAGCCAAGTAAATGCTAGCCCTGTAAGATATCAATACCTTGGGAAGCTGCAGTAGTCTGAAACAATTCCATTATTCTTTTTGGCAGCCTTCAGGGCTGGTTTGGGAGCAAAATTAAATATATTACTTGATATTTATGCTTTTGATTTAAGTCCCAAACGATATCACCCAGTGTGATTACTGGCCTGACCTATCAGATTTGACTCTGAATTGTTTTTGATAGTTTCCAAAAATCAAATGCACCCTCAATAAAACCAAATCTTTGCTATTCCTCAAGCATGCGAAAAGAAGGTACGGTAAATTCTAGAGTTCCAAAGAGAGATTCCAAAACTGTTTCATGAACAAGAAAAATGTCAGTGTCGACCTCGCAGGTGAACACTGCAAATATGTGAGTTCAGATTTCTTTGTTTGAAGATCTGTCATGTCATCTTAGAATCATACTTCTTAGCGTTCACACTTACTCATTCTGGGCAGACTGTCATCAGGTTCGGTTTGCACAAAACAGTTGACCCGAATCAAGGAATTTAAACTTTGAATACTAGACCAGCTATGACATTTGGATCAGTGGGAGCCTTTGCAAATCAATATGAAAACTCGAGCAGCCCACACCGGTGTTTCACCAGCTGGCCACCCAGCAGGAGGCGCATGCAGTGAAATAACTAAAAGTAGCCTCCTTTACTTCTGACCTGGCATAAATCACTCTGGTTCGATTTCGAGGGGCTGGGTGGTGCCAGGAGTGCCTGCGTCAAGCCCCAGCGCTAAGTGGCTGATCGAGACCGTTGGTGTTCTCGATGTGGTATTCAGGCTGGTTTGCCTTCCTGATGGTAGAATGCCATGACCCACTTCCAGAGGGGAGTAAACACATTCCCAGCACTTTATGCTTAATGCAAATTGAACCCCAAAGAGGCCTGGGTGGTAGAAGAAAAGCTCTGCAATGCTGCACCTTGGGAAAAGGAGCTGATCAGAAATCCCTGCTACCCAAGATCTCATTCATGTTATCCCAGTAGGTCTATCCCCTTTTTCTCTCGTTTCCTTTCACTCCTCAGAACTCTAAGTAAATGCAAGAGCAGTAATTGACTGTGTAAATCACTTCATTTGTTTGTGAAGCTAAAAATCTACCTCCTCCACCCCCACCTAACACAGTGGGAATAGTAACTTCCAGTTCTCTCCCAACTCTAGGACATGTCCAACCTGTAAAACCCACCTGTTCTGTCACCCTCAGCTTCTGGTGTCTACTTTCTAGACTGAAGGCAATACTGGAAAGGTCGGATTCAAGGGCTTTCAGGTTAGTAAAACTCCAGCTGGCATGGCTTCCACCATCTCATTAACGGAGAACAAACACACACTCACACTCCCTGGGAAAAGTGCCTGCTGGCTTTCTTCCCTCATTACTGGGAATAAATCAGCAGAGATCCACAGAAAGGGGAAGGCAGGAGGAGAAGATCTCTAAGACATAATCTACACCCAAAGGCATCCTTGGCCATGAATTCCATAAAGGCATATCAGAAAGAGCTAACACTTTTTGAAACGCAGGGGGTCCCTGACCTAACCTATACAATCCCGAGGCATAGGCAGGTCTAAGTCAGCTATCCTATTGCCCACTGAGATTCTTAATCAGCGTGCAGGGATCCACAGATTGGTGGGGAACGGGCAAGAGTGTGACTTTTCAGGGGCTTCCATTCCACTTGGGATGATTAAGGACATAGATTCTGAAGCCAGACTGCCTGAATTTGAATCTGGGCCCACCACTTACTAACAGTGTGACTTTGGGCAATCTACTCAACACTTCTGTGCCTCAATTTCCATTTCTGTAGAAAGGGTATAATAGTAGTACCTTCCATGTAGGGTCACTGTGAAGATTATTAGATTGAATCTTGGCCTAGAACAGTGTTGGGCACATAGACTGTGCTGTATCAGGGTTAGCGGTAAGGATTTGGAGAAATACATTATATGTCAAAAGTTATGTCCAGTTAGAACAAAGCCATGTACAAGAATGCATACTTTGGAATTGGAGCAAAAAGAGAAATCTGTGGGCTGGAATTAGGCAGAACGGGTTTCTTAGGAGAGGTGGGGCCTGAATTCAGAACTTTCAGAGATGGGCATGGTCTACTCTGACCCTTTTTCTCTAACCTAGATTGACCACCCATGAATATGGGGCTGCGACCCCTAAGGAGGACCTCAGGTGTCTTTTCCCAAGCGAACGTTCTGGATCTGCCCTTTCTGCGGCTCACCTCCCCAGCCGGTCTTTTGGCTTCATCTTTGATTGCTGGCTCTTGTGCTATTGGATCAGGTGAGAGACTTCAGCTCACATCAGCAAACTTTAGGACAGGTCTATTCTGAGTGAGGCACTGGGGCCAAAAAGGTGAGGACCTAACAATATCAAATATCACTCTCAAGAAGCTCCTAGTTGGTGTTGACAGAGGAGGCAACAGTTTTATCATTCACTGTGTTGGGCGTGGTTGCTATGGGAGCAGAGGGGAGGAGGGCTTGGCCCAAGGGCAGAGAGAGGTCAGTGAGTCTTCAACGGTGACAGGGACAAGCCAGGGCCAGGGGCCATGATGAGCATACAGGGGGAATGGCTGTCCAAACAGGAGGAAGTGCTTGAAGTTTAGTTTGGACTCCAGCACGCTCTCAGAACACTGGATGGTGCTTTCCTTCTATCTCCCACTGCCTTCAGCCCCTCTGAAAGCTCCAGTTGGCCAGGGTTGACAAGCATCTGTGCTGGGCTGGCTGCAGGCCTCCTAATGGGTCAGCTTGAGACTGGGCAGGGTGGGGGCCTGGAGGGGGTGGTGAGGACTCTCCAGGCAGGAGATGCACCATAAGGAAAGGCTGCAACAGGATGATCCAGTGGAGTTATGGCACAGTACCAATGTTAAAACCCGATCTCACACTCAGTAGCTCCATCATCTGGAGTAAATTACTTTGCTTCTTTGGAATCTTGATTATAAAATAGGTGAAATAATACTTGGAGGAGTGGTTATGAGGTTTGAGTGAGATACATGAGGAACACCCAATAAGCTCCTACCATTGTGTGCTGGGCTGGGTGGGCCAGGCCCCATTCCCACTCTGTCATCCTGCCGTCTGTGTTCACAATACTAAACGGCACTTAGATCATTAGCTGTCAAAACAAATCAGGGAACTCAGGACACTTCTCTTTGAAACGGCTTTATACAGCCAATATTTGATAAAAATTAGATGATGAGAATGTTGGTCTTTACCCCAGGAAGAGCCCAGTCAGGCTGCAACTGTGTTAGACCCTCCCAGAGAGCCTGACTGAGTTTGGAGGGCTGATGCCTGGCCTAGAGGAGGAGTCTGTAGGCTGCAGAGTTGCACATCCTGCTAAGATTAAGGACATGGCCAATCAGGTCATTTCAGGCAGGTCATGAGACAGCCATTGGACAGCAGCATTCACTCAGTCACTTTAGATGGCCTAAGTGAAATGTTCCCTATCCCAGCACCAAACCTAAGCTATCTGTTTTTCGTATTCCTGCAACATGAATCAGCCTGGTCAAAGATGCAGAAGTTTGGCCTGAAAATTGTCTAAGAAGAAGAGAGAAAAAGAAGGAAGAAGAATAGCCATAGCCTTCATAGGGCTATGGCATTGTTTATAGGTTCCCAACGTTTGAACTACTTTAGATTGAAAAGTAGTAAGTCATATAAATTAAGGTGTGAAGCAGCAACCCCATACATTGTTGGTTGGGGCAAAAACTGATGCAAGGCAGTTTGGCAATATCTATCACAATCTCACATTTTGTCAAGGGAACACTTGATGAAGTACTTCCACGTGTAAGAATTTATCCTACAAGTATTCTCACTTGTATAAAATGAAAAATGTACCATGTCTCTTTTTAATTGTAGAATTATTTGCAAAAGATTTGTAAATAATTTAAATATCAATCAATAGAGGACTTGACAAATTACAGAGTAGAATATTATGCAGGTATGTATGTGGTGTATGTATGCATGTGATGGTTAATTTTATGTCGACTTGACTGGGCCAAGTGATACCCAGATGACTGGTAAAACATTCTGTCTGGGTGTGTCTGTGAGGGTGTTTCCAGAAGAGATTAGCATCTGAGAAGGTAGACTGAGTAAAGAAGACCCACCCTCCCCAATGTGGGTGGGCATAATCCAGTCTGTTGAGGGACTGACTCAAACAAAAAGGCTAAACAAGGGAAATTTTTTTCTCTCTCCTTTAGTGGGGACATCTATCTTCTGTCTTCAAACATCAGAGTTTCTGGTTCCTGGGCCTTTGGACTTGGACTAGAACTTTACTACCAGCTGTCCTGGTTCCCTAGCTTGTGGACAGCAGAGCGTAGAACTTCTTAGCCTCCATAATCACGTGAGCCAATCTTTCATAATAAATCTCCTTCTCTCTCTCTCTCTCCCCCTCCCGTGTGTGTGTGTGAGTGTGTGTGTGTGTGTGTACAGACAGATTCTGTATCTCATCGGTTCTGTTTCTCTGGAGAACCGTGTCTAATACTGTGTATGTGTGTGTACGTTCTATGCATGTATATATCTCCAAGAAATGTTAGGTCAAAAAAGCAAGTTGCAAAACAGCATGTATAGTATGCTACCATTGTACATGTGCGTAAACAATTCTGGAAGGGTCTTCAAGAAACGAATTACATTGGTGGCTTATGGAGAAAGAAGCTAGTTGGCTGTCGGGGCGGAAGAGAGACTCAACATTCACTTTTCTACACTATTTGAATTTTGAACCCTGTGAAGGTGTAACCCATACAAAACATTAAATTTTAAAAGTCACCTTAAAAATGAATGAATACTGTCCACTGACAGATTAATGGATTAGCCAAGTGTAGTATATGAATACAATGGAATATTGTTCAGCCTTTAAAAGGAAGGAAATTCTGACTCAAGCTACAACATGGATGAACTGTGAAGATACTATACTAAGTGAAATAAGCCAGTCACAAGGGACAAATATTGTATGATTCTGGTTATATGTGGTACCTATAATAGTCAAGTTCATAAAGACAGAAAGTAGAATGGTGGTTGCCAAGGGTTTGGTGAGGGGATAGGAATGGAGAGTTATTGTTTGATAGGTACAGTTTTAGCTTTGCAAGATCAAAAGAATTTTGGAGATTGCATGCATAAAAAGTGAATATATTTAAACTACTTTATATGGTTTGGCTGTGTCCCCACACAGGTCTCATCTTGAATTGCAGTTCCCATAAACCCCACATGTCATTGGAGGGACCTGGTGGGAGGCAATTGCATCAGGGGGATTGTTACTCTCATGCTGTTCATGATAGTGAGTGAGCTCTCACAAGATCCAGTGGTTTTATAAGGGGCTTCCTCCTATCCTTCACTCTCATTCTTCTCTCTCCTACCTCCATGTGAAGAGGGATGTGTTTGCTTGCCCTTCCACCATGATTGCAAGTTATCTGAGGCTTCCCCAGCCCTGTGGAACTGTGAGTCAATTAAACTTCTTTCCTTTATAAATTACCCAGTCTTGGGTATTTCTTCATAGTAGTATAAGAATGAACTAAAACACTACTGAACTGTACATCTTAACTGTACATGGTTAAGATGGAGGCCAGGCACAGTGGCTCACACCTGTAATCCCAACACCTTGGGAGGCTGAGGCAGGAAGATTGCTTAAGCCTAGGAATTTGTTGCCCAGCCTGGGCAACAAAGCAAGACCCTGTCTCTACACACACACACACCCAAAAAAATATTGCCAGGCATGTTGGTGTGCATTCGTAGTTCCAGCTACTTGGGGAGCTGAGGTGGGAGGATGGCTTGAGCCCTGGAGGTTGAGGCTGCAGTGGGCTTTAATTGTACCACTTTACTCCAGCCTGGGCAAGAAGCAAGATCCTCTCTCTCTCTCAAAATAATAATAATAAAATGGTTAAGATGGTAAATTTTATATGTATTTTACTATAGTTAAAAATAAGAAAATGATCTATAAAGTAATTATTTTAACAAAGAACACTTGGTTACATTAATTTAGTCATCCCACCAACGAATGCTCTGACTGCAGCCACCTAGTGTGATGTGTTAGAGGACTTCAGGGACCTACTGCTCTGCCTTCCCTCAGCTTTAGCAAGCCCAGATTATCTGATTGCTCTTTGCTTTTGTTTTTTAATGTGAAGAATAGGAACACAATTTTCCTACCCTGATACTTTAACTGGATTATTGCATATTGATGTTTTTGTACTCAGGTTCCTAACCATTATGATAGCATCAACCTGCAGGAACATTCTAACCTTATTCTGTGACTTTCCCCAATTCAAGCTTTGTAGAAGACCATTGTGTCAGTATTTAGAAAATGTTTTGAGGTCCCTAGATTTAAATAAGGTTAAATATAAAGGATCCTTTTCACTACTGGACATGTGTAACTGCATGTCTTCTGGACATTGCTTGTGATGGTCATTCATACTCAAAGGATGGAGACAGAAAGCACAGATCACAAAATCCTCTGGCCACATGGGGAAGCTGGCCCTGAAATGAAGCAGCAGTGTCAATGCCCGGAGCCCCACTGCCAGCCTCAGCTCTGTGAGAAAGGTGGCAGAGAGGTAGGAAGGAGATATGCATAAAGGCTGGTGTTCGTCCTCTCCATGCTTCTGCCAAATACTATAACCACCTGCCCCAGACCGGCAAGCCAAATAGTAGCTCCATCCCTACAGGTTACATTATACCCTGAAATTGACATTAAAAATCAAACTGGTTAGTTTTAAAGTGCTTTTCACAAGCCTACTAACTTAATCCTTGACTAGTGCCATCGGGGTTGTTAACAGGGTCTCACATCTCCCCAGAACAGCTCTATTTAAGACCCCCCCCCCCCCGCCATTACCCACTCACCAGCCTGCCTTTTTCACTTAGGATGAGGAGCCAGAGTAAATGATAGTAGTATTCTCCTCTCTTCTGTTGACCTAGATTGACCTGAGTGGGAATTTTAAGACTGATTGCTCTTCTCTCTTCTCATACCAAGTCTGAATTCCATTGCTGGGATTTCCCTGACTGCTGTGATTTGACTCTATCTTTCCATATAGCCAACTTCTTACCACCCACACACTCACCTCTGCCTCAGTCCTTGGGCCTGTAAAGGCCCTTTGAATCTTCCTTTATGCCTCTCCTGCATATCCAGGCACAAGTCCAACCCTCCAGCAGCCTAAATCCATCTTTTCCTCCTCTGAATTCCTATGGCATTTATAGTTAGCACCCTACAATTTACTGAACCACTTAATTATATGCTTTCCGGCATTGCTCAGTGATTATTTCTTGCTTTTAGTCCGGCCTCCTGAGTAGATATTGAATCCCAGTGGGGCAGAATCTATACTTTATAATTTTTTATTATATCCTTAAGAGCACCTAGTAATAATAATGGTGATCACTTAGCACTTAGTGTATATAACACACAGCACCTTATGTATGCTATCTATTTCATACCACGATACTCTAATGAGGCATTATCATGCCTATTTTTCAGATGGGAAAACCAAAGCTCAGAGAGAGTTACGTGGACAGGCAGCTGGTGAGTGGAGCCAGGCCAGTGGCCTTCAAAGGCTTTAGTCAAACTTTTTGACAGATATCAGAAAATTGAAGTAAGGAAAATACTTTCCTGGGATCATCCCTATGTGAAATGGCAGACTGAAATTACTCCCAATGTTTCCAAAAATGGAAGCTCCTCAAGAACAGGAACTTTCGTCTGTTTGTTCATTGTTGTATCCCCAATCCTTAGAACTATGCTGGACTCAAATAGTTGCTCAATAAAATATCTGCTGAATGAACAAATGAAATCTAATCAATCAACAAACCTACTCTGAATGCTCACCAAATGTAAGGCACTGCTCCTGTGATGAGAAACGTAATGTAAAAGACATTCTAGTTTGCTTGACTAGACCTCACTCACCGCAGAATACTCACAAGGGCAGTCCAGACACAGAAATGTGAGAAAGCCTGCATCCCCAACGTGGTGCCAAATTTGTCCTTTTAGATTTGAGAGGGTAGGGAGCTTCCTATTCCCTGCTGCTTCCTCTCCTCAGTCCTCCTTCCATCGAAATAGCCATCATAGCCCAGGAAGAAAGGAAAGCAGTCCCATACCCAGGAGCAGGCTGGCCTGCAGTTTCACATCAGACTCCGGGGATACAGAAAGGAGTCCTCCAGGCTCTGCAAGTCCACACACAGAGGTTCTGGAACAGGAGAGCTGGGGCCTGGATATGAAAAAAACATGTGTATCCACAGGCAGGGGGTGTGGGCCCTGCTACTCCTGTAGGTTCTTTTAAAAAATTGTCTTTAGAAGTCTTATTTGTGCTAAGTCACTTCGATAAAAATAGAAACACTTTTTTTGTTGTTGTTTTTTTAAACAATGTAGATGATTTCTTCAGTTATCTCCTGGCCCTGTATGTGGACACACCATCTTAGATTCAGAGACTAGGAAAAGTATTTTCTTTCTGTCTCCTACTTTCTACACATTTGTAACCTGTGTTCACAGCAAAGGTAATCAATTTCCCTACAAGTAATTGTTCAAGCTAGGCGAGATCAATAAAGGAGATAAAGAAGTTGCACAATTTAAACAAGCAAAAGGAACAATCGGCCACCAAACAAAGCCCACAGTTCCAAGGTAATGACTTGAAATAGTCTTGATGTTTTTTAGTAAGAGATGGGGCCAGGTCATAACCATGTAAAAGTAATGAAAACCAACCAAGGCTGTGGGGCCCTAATTACTGTCAACTTGTCATTCTCTCCAATTGCCTTCAGGGTTTGTTTCTTTTTAAAATTCAGTGTAACCTTACAGGAGGCAATAGAATGGTGGTGACAGTGGAAAGTGGACGGGGCAGATGCAGAGACTTTGGAAATAGTGGGATGTGGAGATGGAAGGCAGGCTGAGGGCAAAGGGGCTGCCAGGGCTTCTGGGGGGGCTCCCAGGAGACTGATAAGATCCCGAGGGGACTGGAGAAGTGCGAGGGTCCAGTTAACGTGTGCAGGAAAGGTGATGAACCCCAGGTTTTTATGGTTGTTCAGGAGGCACCAGCCTCATGCTTAGTTTGTTTCTGAAGCATATCATTCTTACTCTAACTTCTATCTGAAACATTCTTCTCCCAGATCTTTCCGTGGCTGGCTCAGCTTCCACGTCACCTCTTTAGAAAGGCCTCCCTGGCCACCAACCTGAAGTCACCACCTAGTTAGTCTCTTGCCCGCCCCCCCACCTTTTTTTTCATCATGGCTCTTGGCACTACCTGAACTTTTCTGGTTGGTTTATCAGTGTATGTCCTCTGCCCCTCCATACCATGGTGTAAGCCCCAGGAGAGCAGAAACTTCCTCTGTCTATCTGACGGCGCGGAAGCCTCAGAGCCTGGATCAGTGTTGGGGATGGAG